GAGTGTATTAGCACCTTGCAACCTCGCAGGACTGAGAGGAGCAACCGGGCTTAGCGTACTCCAGAAGTGAATACTGGAGAGCAAGGGACTCGGGGTCAGCAAGATGGGAGTCTGCAAAACACACGGAGACAGTCAGCTGTGAATAATGCATAGCACATGTAAATCCCGCCGCAGTAATCGCAGCTCCTATAGCTGCCGAGGGCTGGGTCCAGATTTCAGGAACTCCCATTCCATCCTTCCGCCTCCTCCCACCTCCTCCTCCTCCCCTCCAAGCCCGCAGCAGCAGCCATCCGGCTCTCCCACCAGCTGCCAAATCCTGCCGGAACCTCCAGCAGATCAGCTCCTCCTGCGGCTCAGCATACAGCACCTGCGAGGGAGTCGGAAAACTCAGTCCCTGGATTTAAGGAGGGGAGACAGCGGGCACACACATGGTCTGGGTGACACCAGCAATGTAAGCCACAACAAAAGAAATTTACATCCAGCTTCCAAATATTCTGGATGTTCCGGGTTCACCGGCCAGACACTTTGCAGGGTGCCAAAAGAGCAACTTGATTTTTTTCCTGTCTCCAGCCATTTGAGTTTTCAATCAGCAGTTTCCCTCCAGTTTCACTCTAATTTCCATTCACGACAGGAAAGAGATTAAATATATACAGAACAATTTAACAACCTAGTTGGATTCAGTTCTCCTCCAATTTTTCCATGGGGCATAAAAGCTTTCCTTTCCCACACAAAGTTAACAACCAAACGAAGCAGCTGTTCTTACAGCTAAGTCACAATACTCTGGTTTAGTACATGGCTCCTGAACCAAGTCAAAGCCAGCTGCTAAACAGACACCTCCGTGGTTCTCTATTTTTAAAGCATTTTCAGAATCAGCCTGAAGGATAAGGGCAAGGTTTAGGGTTTTTGAAATAATTCAGTACCACCCTGGCAAGATTTACAAAGGATCCTGCTGGTGCTGGTTTGGGTTTTGCCTCCACACGCTAACGCTGTGCAGACACGTACAGCTGACATACCACTTGGGCACGGTTTAGGGTGGAAGCTAATACCAATTATGAATAAAATTTACGTTTTATTAAAAAAAAAAAAAAAAAGGGGGGGTGACATCATGAGTTTCTGAACTCCAAACACGATCTATTGACTATTCATTTTCCACTTGCCTTCTCTTACTGTTTCAAATAACATAACCACTATTGTTACTACACAAAAAAACTAACAACAAAAAACAAAACCCCCTAAAAAACCCAAAAAACCCCAACCGTACAAGAACGGAGTTAGGTTACCTGAGAGAAAAGTGCTGGAGTAAGAGAAGCAGTTGGGAGAGAAGGACTCAGAATCCCCAGTGGACTTGGATCGCTGCCTGTAATGACGAGAGTAGGAGCCAGCTCCAGCCCTTTGGGTTTTTTAGATCTGGAGAGGTGATTGGCAAATTCCTTCTCCAGCACAGATGAATCCTGCTCTTTGGGCTCTGGGGACTGATGCTGAAGGCTCTGAGCCTGCTCCAGCTGCTGAGAAGCCACAGACTCTATGTCCGTGTCAATGTCCAGGTCAGGATTAGAGCTCAGGGGCGGCGATGGGGGTGTGGAAGGAACTTGGAGAGCGGGAGAAACCGAGGATACAGGTGGAGTTGGGGTGAAGCTGGTGGTTAAGTTTGGCAAAGGTGCTGGAGCTTCGGGGACAGTTAACTTGGGTAGAACAAGCGTCTCCAAGGTCTGGAGAGTCTCCTCCGATCCCAAGGGAAGAGAGGATGCGGTTGAAGTGACAGAAGCGGTGGAACTGGCAGCGACCACTGACGTGGTAGAGACCAGGGGGACAGACGGAGGCTTTTTGGAGGGCATGGTGACAAACTTGATGACAGAGGGCGTTGGATCCTGAGCGGGTTTCTTCTCCATTAGTTTCTCAGCTGGATTCTCAATCTTGATGGACCTGAAGAGTTTTACACTGGAAGAGTTCAGGGAGTTCAGAGTAAAAGAGGAGTACAAGCCTGAGTGGATATAGTCATTGCGGCTGGAGGATTTAGCACAGGACTGAGACTTCTCCTTCCCACAGTTTTCCACATCCTTTGGAGCACTGCTAACTTCCGCAAAACCAGACATTTCAGGGTCTCCTTCTATACGGCCCACGACAAGTGGATCCATATTTAAAATCTCCGGATAAGAAACAAACTTGTACACAAACTTCTTACCATTCACTTTTTTAATGATATTCTGTGGGTGAGAAGATACATATATTTAGACCTTCTTCAGATTAATTTTCTTCCTAGAAACACTGCCTAAAATAGACTGAGAAATTAGATAGTCTGTAATCTTTCATCAAAAAATGTTTTCTTTTTTAAAAACACACTGCATTCTTGTGCAAGTTATGCTCCCAAAATATAATTTCCAGAGCTCACAAACAAAACACTAAAACAGGTGAGCTTAACCTGACATTAAATACACTCACAGCCATAAAACTGCCAAGCAATTCCTTTTACCATATTTTAAAAGATCAGCTGAGAAACAAAAAAATACCCCTTGCCCTCACCAAAGATCACTGACCCAGATAACACACAGTGAGTGTAATCTAACCAGAGAACCTGCAGAATTAAAGCTTACAGGTTTGCAGAACTGAGAGCTAATACTTCAAATCAAACCACCTTTATTCTTAATAAGATGATAATAAAAGAAAATAAGTAGCTCAACCAGTCAGCAGAATGTAGGCTAATCAGCTATTTCAATACCACAAAATAGCGTGTCGAACTTGTTTTGCTCCTAAGCGAAATGCCACACACAATCCGGACCCAAGAAGATTCTTATTTATCGTACTGAGACCTCTCGGTACAAAGTCAGATTCGTGCTACCCAGTAATAAACTCTCAGCAACAAACCACCTGCTACGAACTGACAGGTTCCTCAGAAACTGTTTTATTTTTTATCTCATACACCCCCACAATGACGGTTACGGGATAAATGGCTTATTGAAACGAAGGTAAGACTCCCACACTGTGGTTCTAGTTCAGCTTTCTGACACTACCTGTGCGCTAATGAAAGGCTCTCACAGTTATTAGAGGACATTAACTAAACAAGAGAGGCATCTCACTCTGCTGGACGAAACTCACTGACCACATTAGAGATGCAATTCTGAATACAAGGAGAAAAAGAAAAATACTTTGGGCTGCTTCACTGCAATTCCTGATTTTGCTAGCCCCTTCGCAGAGACAGCTGCAGAAAAGCTCTCAAGGTGGTGCAATATTCCCCATCTCAATCGTCATAATTATTCTGTTGCTTAAAATGGAGCGTTCAGGATTTTAACCCTTGCAGAGGCGCATATTTTGGGAAAGAGGATTAGTATTAAAAGACAGATTCGTACTAGCAAAGACACAAATCAAAGAAGATAACATTTTGCACAAAGCTATCTAGAACCTTATAAATGCAGGAAATGCAGCACAATGATAAAGAGAAGAAAAAAAACCCCTCTAAACATAAACTAGTACACCTTACTTAAGCCTGGGAGACAGAGCTGACACCTACCCCCTTGAAGAGAATGAAAAAGGAAACAAAGCTCATTAGGCAGAAGCTGGTAAGATGGATAAGGATTTGAGGTGGATTTACAGACTTTGTTACCTTCACATAATAGTATCTGAGAGCACGGCTGAGTTTATCATAGTTCATACTGGGCTTGTTCTTGCGGATTCCCCAGAGTCTGGCCACCTCCTCTGCCTGCAGCAGTTTGAACTCCCCGTCGTTGGAGGTCCAACAGATGATATTCTTGTTCTGAGGCTCTTGGAGGAGCTGGAGGAGGAACTGCCACAGGGTGATAGCACTGTCCATAGCAGTAAGCTGAAACGCAGAAAGGCAGATAAGAGGCAACAGATTAGGAACAGCGCATTTTCTTCCTCTCCCTAGAAGGGGGTAATGGAGCAGAGATGTTATTTCCAAAGCCAGCAAGAGTAAAAATTATTAGTCACCAGTCGTGAAAGATGTTCCCTGCAGAACAGAGAGGCTGAGAGCCAACGGGTGTTGTCTCCTCCCACATGTCAGTACTTTTCACATGGGTTATATTTAGCCTCATTTAACTAAATCAGGTCGCTTTGGGTAAGTTGCAATGAGTCACTATCCAAAAAAAAATTTTTTCAAAGTTGTTCCATGTTCACCCACTCTGACTTGTACTGCTTTGAGAAACAGCTCAGGTGCACCCAGGTGAAAATCAAACCACCCACCTGCCTCCTCCTTTCCTTACCTGCACCCACCTCCAACCTCGGTATCTTTAAGAAAACCCAGCAGACCAAGTAACGTAGCTTAAGCCACGCGCCGATGCCACAGTGCAGAACAACTCAGCTTCCCTTCGCTCCACATTTCCACTGCGTCTCTGGAAGCGGCCCTCTCATCACCCCCCAGCTGCTCCTTTTCTTTCCCAGGTATCATCCCTATCTTTTTTAAGAGACCAAACATGAAAGTAAACAAAATTATTTCAAATTCTACCTTTGCTTTCCTGTTGATTCCTACCCTATTCCTTTCTAGGAGCAGTATCTGTCTGTCGGGTCATGCACTCCCAGCCTGGTTTTCTTGCACTGAAGCTGTCGATGTGTAAATTCATCAAGGACAGACAAGGCAGTAGAGATTACATTTTTCCTTGACCATATCTGGCTACATGAAACAGTACTTCCACTGATACTTTTAAGCAGAACACTAATAATCCTGTCTGCACAAGGGAAGTATAAGACACACCGTGAATTAAACCAGATAAAATTACATTAATTCAGTATCCAGTACGGATCCTCTTATTCCAGAACAGAACAGTTCCTATTAACAGAGCTTAAACTTCTTCCAATGAAATAAAAACAAGCCCAGCCACTCCGGAATAACAACCACAGCGATGAATTACACTAAAAATGTTTTGATACGTGCAACTGCTAGATTCCTCTCCCCTCCAGTGAAAACTCAACACGGGCAAACCTAAAGCGTGCGGAGCTTTCCATCAGGGTGGATCTGCAGCAGGGCTCGTCACAAGGAAAAGCTCCAAAACAGGCAGCAAGTCCAACTGCAGCAAGCAGGACTCAGGCCCGTATTGTCTGAAGTCCACGTGTACGCAGGGATAAGTTTAAGAGTCAGTCAGGACTGCCAGTTCATCTTCGTTACCAAAGCCTTTTATTCCAATCTCGTCACTGCCCAGCACTTATCCAGCCCTATATAAGGAAGAGAACGGTCGACATGTCAGAGCTCCAGAATTTAGCCAGCCCTTTTTTTCAGTTTACGCAGGACTCCACACTCTTATTTCAACAAGGTGCCCTGGGGCAGGTACTTTTCTGGGCAGAGCCCACTGCATTTAACCTGTTTTTAAGAACAGCCGTCTCACAGCACGCTTAGCGACTGCGCAGGGATGATGCATTGATCCAGTCAGCTAAATTGCTGCAATTACAAAGAACAATCTCAAAGTGAAGGACACCCACACTACCTTGTTATGCTGGCCTAAGGTGCTTTCCTTGTTCATTACCATATGCCTACAACTCCATGCTTGCCCAAATTAATTGCTCGGTTCTCCAAGAAAATATCAGCTGGTGAACGCCGTCCTCCGAGACTCGTCCCACCCCGCACCGTGGCGTGCCAGCGGGACCGTATGGGAACTCGGGGCCAGGCAACCACATTAAAACTCTTCCAGGACTTCTCCTCCAACTTGTGTTCACATTTACCAATAACATTTCCTATCTGCCTACTGGCAACGCAGAGGACGTGCACGCTGCGGAGCACGGGACGCGGAGCCTCGTTATCCCGTCGGGATGATGCACACGCACGGGGTGCTGTGCAGACAGAAGGATCCGATTCCACCGTTCTGCAGAGCTGTCAATACTAGTGAGATGTGTTAACAGAGAAAGAGCAGGAAAATGAAGTTGAGTGATTATTCCCACGCTACATTTATCTACTGCACTTTCCAAACGTAGAAGCAGCACTGCACCAAACAGCGCTGACTGATGCAATGGGAGGCAATCACGGAGAAATTAGATTAGCAGCAGGATTTCAGAGCAGCAAAGGCTTTTTTTTTTTTCTCCTAAAATTCCATGTAGATTTCATCCCAGAATTTAAATGCTATTATTTCACTGGGCTGCTTCCCTTTAGTTAACTACCTTGCCATTGTTATCCCAACGCTCACCAAGCTCTACCGCCGTCAAGCATTACTGCCGCGGTCACGGCTGGGTTTGAATCGAACTGGAGATGCACAATGCTGGCAGATCAAGCTGGAGATGCACAACTCCTGACAGCACGGAGATCAGCAATAAGGAGTAAGCACAGAGGGACTGAAATGACGGAAGATACAACATTTTTAAGAAAACACCTTTCCCAGTAATGAGCTAGGCTGTTCCACAGAACATTTACCAAAATAAAAGAGAGTTCATGCTGCCTAAATCCCAAATTTCCCTCTGGAAGGATCCTTCTCCCCAGGGCAGAGTTACAGACTCTACTGGAGTACCAGACTGATCGAGTTACTACTGATGTTTCCAGCTTTTACAGGCTTTAGGGCTGTCACGATTCCTTCCATCATCTGGAGGATGCACTGCACATCCTCAGCACCCAGAGTCTCACACTGGACACAATAACAGAAGGTGGAGAAGTTCTGCTTACTCCTTGGAGCAGAACAGGAGCAGAGAGCACTTTGGAATTGTTAATGGAGAGGTTATATTGCACGTGAGAGAATCCGTGTCCCTCTTCATTAAATCTTTACTGCAAACATCTACAGGAACAATGGAGAGAGACCTCAACACAACAGGGAGCGTAAAATATTTCTGAAGATTACAGACAGACACAACCCTCCAAATAACCCTCCAAACTGGTCAAAGCAATGAGATGGATCTTGTCCCTTCAGAGTCCAGGAGCAAGCTGGAACTGGGAAAGAATAATACGTGTATGGGAGACAGAGTTGTGCTGTGAATCGAGACACCTCATTTAACTTTTTTATTAAAGTTGCTTTGATACAGCATAAGAATACATCAAAGAACTGCTGCTTCGTCGGGGAAAAACAGAATAAAAAACATCACACAAGATGTAAAATTAAAACCAGTACAGGCGAGATGAGCGCTTCTCTTTGTTTATGAACCGACTAACACGTTACAAAGGTTCTTCCTTCTTCAGCACCTGGGGCAGAAGGCAGCTGACGCCTTTCCTGAGACTTTACCTTGCAACCACAGGGATGGTGCAGTGGTTCACGCTCCTTTTGCTCCCTGCGTTCTGCACATCTCCAGCCGCCCTGGTGCGGGGGGACCAGCTGTTACGGAGGCTCCCATCCACACCAGAGCCATTTTTGGGGCTCAAAAGAGTTCCCCTCCACCTGCACCGACACTGGAAGGAATTCAGCAGATCCTCTTGTCCTTTTTATACAGACACAGCAAAACCCCCACTCTCCAGAGACATAACTAAACAAAGGAGGATGAGGAGAGGAACCCACCGTCCCACTCCTACTCCGCACTAACAATGGAGAGATGTTACTCCTCTCTCGTGATTTGTAAACAGCATTTCAACTTCTTTCAAAACTACATCTCCTTGCACACAAAGGCATCAATCTCCCAGCACAGCTCCCCGTCAGCATAAAAAGCCTAGCACTTTGATTGCTTTTTCTTCAGGATGAATACACCAATAATTACGAGCGCATCACTGCAAACTGTCTTTTTGCTGAAGGATATTTTCCTTCTAAGAGTCCACGGAGAAAGAAGAAGGTCTCATTTGAAAAGACAATGAGGGAATTGGGCAGAGAGGCAGCACTGCCGTTTGTGACGACCGCCTTCCCACTTCTGCACCATTTGAGTGCGAGGAAAAAATAGTTGCTAGAGGCAGAGGGCAGTTATACTTTGTAATGAGTATGCTAAAATAGAGCACTATTATTGTCTTGAGATCTTCTCTGACGCCTACGGATGACCCTTGAAGTATACCGAGGCGCTGACAGAATTTGGCTGCAGTACTCTAAATACACACACTGCAAACTCCAGCTTGCTCATGTTGCTGCAGCTTCGTTTGAGGTTGCTGCAGCTTTGTTTGAGGCCTTGACTTTACAAAGCCTCGAGTTTGCAAAAAAAAGCCAGGCCATGAGATACGTATCTTTTCCGGTGACTTCTCCCCATGCATCTGTGCCACAGCGTGCCCCACGCAATCCACTTGATTACAGAGCCCCGAGGCTCTGCATCCTCCGTGGCAGGAGAGTGCGCAATCACGGGGTGGCACAGCAGGCAGGAGGAAGGCTTTCGGAAGCGGCGTACGGTAATCCCTGCCGTGGCCAGCAGCTATACTTACTGCTGCAAAACAAACTCCAGCGTTCAGCCCTCCGTACCCCAGCAAGGCAGCAGCCACGCAGGTCCTGGGAAGGGAGCGGAGGCAGGACCGGAGGGTCTGCCCTAACCCCTGTCTTCAAGGTCTTCAGGCAGATTTCCTGTGCTTTGACTCAACACCAAGAACAGCTCGAGTAATCTTTCTCCTCAAGTTGTTCCAACAGCCTCTTCTAAGCATCTGCAGCTTGATGACTTCTGCAGATGGAGTGAATAAAAGCAGTCAGGTCTGCAGCTGTGTCAGGACCCACACAGAAACCAAGGATGGTGCAAAGGAAAGAAAGGACGTCACACAGCGAGGGCTCAATCATCGCTACCACGTATTTAAGTGGCACGGTTACAGCCGTCCAGGCACTTACACAGAAGCGACATCTCAAAAGCTGACTTTGTGAGCAGCATAGAGCAAAGGGAAACACATCGGGTGACGCAGAAGCCTCATCTCAGATCACAAACACTTCTGTTAAAAAAAAAAAAGCAGCAAAAAAGGCAGCAACAGTAACTTAGAGATGGTCTTGGGAACCTCAC